AGATCATAATAAATTTAGAAAATTTGAAGATAAATGGAACACTAACCCCCTTAATTGAATGTCAATTAATGATATTAATAAAGAGTTGCATTTCCTTCCATACTAATTGGTGGGATACTATCTTGGGTATATGATAATTAGATTATAGGTAGTGTGTAAATTTATAATAATTCGGGTTTTTTTTTTAATTTTTCTGGAATTATTCATTTAAGTTATTATGACTAATATAATAATAATTATATCTTATTGTAGTGCTTATAATAGTGCTGGTTTCTTATGACTTTCTTAAACGATTTCTTTATACCTTAAACCAATTATAAAAATCTTAACAAGTACGGAATGAAAATGGGTGATGGTTATAAAAAATTCTATGAAAAATTATTTTATAATTTAAATTGTATAAAATTATATGAGACTGCAAAACAATAACTCTTAGATTAGAAAAGATCCTCTAATATTGAGTCCTTCTTCTTTATTTGAAAATCTTATTTTATAACAAAAAATTTCTCTTCGACGCCTATTTCTTTATTTATAATTCTTAACAAAAATCGAATTCTTTTCGTTAAAACCAATATATTCATCTGCTGTATTTCATGCTGTTTGCTAACGAAACTCGTTTTTTAATTAAAAAGAAAAAGAAGATGGTAGATGGTAGCCCAACCCAATTGAAGCAGGTCTAAAGCTTCAGTAGCAAACAGGCCCAACCACCGTATCACTCACTCGCAATTTCTTCTGGAACGAGTTCGCTCTGTAAAATTCTTCGCTTCGTTCTCCTTCGAACTTCCTCCCTCTGTTTCTACGATCAATCGGAGAGATGGCGACTCCCATGGTAGAAGATACTGAAGAAGACCAGCTCGCCTCCACGCCCACCGACGACATTCTCAGGGCTTCTCGTCTTCTCGATACTCAGATTCGCGCCCTTAAGGTTTCCCGATCCCTTTTCTTTCTCCCGTTCGATTCTTCGTTGCAATTTAGGGTTTTTCGTGTCCGGCCATTTCTCTCTTTTTCTTGTGTGGATTTGGTTATTGGTGTGTTAATCTGTACAGTATGTTCTAATTTCTGAATTGTGTCTTAATTGTTTTTTCTTGGAATGAAGGAAGAGTTGCAGAGGACGAATCTTGAGCTTGAGTCATACAAGGAGAAGATAAAGGAGAATCAGGAGAAGATTAAGCTCAACAAGCAGTTGCCTTACTTGGTGGGCAACATTGTTGAGGTAATTTATGAGACTGTATGTGGAGTTGACTCTTATTGTATAAATGATCTATTAGGAGCTTTAAATTTTTAGTTTTTGATTGTTTCAGATTCTGGAGATGAATCCTGAGGATGAAGCTGAGGAAGATGGTGCAAATATTGATCTTGACTCACAGAGGAAGGGTAAATGTGTTGTACTGAAAACGTCCACTCGTCAGGTATATTTCTCTTGTCTGTCAATAGCAGGGCAAGTGGACAGTTTCTACTTCTCTTTGGAGTCGGCCAAAGGTCAAATATGAGAGTAATTTGTTAGATTAGAGATTAGTGTATTTGA